ATTTTAATGCATGTGACATTCAATATTCAATATAAATTTTCTCTTCTGTCAATTTCCTAATCTTATATATATTTTAATATTTTTCAGCTTCTTTAAATACATTTTCAGATGCAACGCAAAGTATAATACTTCAAACTATGAGTAAAATCACGGAAATACGTCTGATTTTTCGGAAGCAATAATTAAATAATCCAATTAATAATTACTCGGTAAACTAATGAAAAAGAAAAAAGAAAATTCTTAAATTCTAAACAGAAGAAATGCACAAAATATACAAATTTTAGTAAATAACGAGATAAATAATCGTTATCAAGCAAGTAACACTGAAATACCCTGTAAAAAGCAATCAATTCGAGCTGTTCTTTGCTCTCCATTCAATTATTAACTAAATAAAATGCTCGTGAAACATTATAAACTCACTTTTAAATCAACTGAAAAGACTCAGAGAAGTTGCATACAGCATTCTCTCACTGCCAGCGCTACAGGGTATACATGTATTTTTGCCAATGCTTTGGTTTTGGTTAAGCGTATGCAAAAATATGGCCAAAGGGCATTCAAAGCGCGCGCGAGTTTTGTTGAAAAAATAGAAGGTTCGATTAAATTTAAAAGGTTGCTAATGCTATTGGCCACGTGTGCTGCACGCTGCTGGATGACGGTGGCGGTTGGCGGTGGCGCTGAGCAAAATGAATATGTTATGTGCCACAATAAATAACTCGGTGGCGCCAGAGATGCCCGCAGAGAACTCGTCATACAATATGCATATTTCGATTGCTGTTCATAATTGATTTAGCTGCATGTGTGTGCGCGTGTGTGTGTGTGCCCGATTTGTGATGCAGCTAATCATGTAGGTCAGTTCGCGATTTGTTTTGCCAGTGGACCGAACGCACACAGCGGGTGGCAGCAAACAAAAAGCACAGATTATCATGCGACATGTAGATAGAAATGCGGCTGCAAACAAACAAACAACAACAGCAGCAGCAGCATGCACAAGAGACAAACAAATTCAAATCAAACGGACAAAAGATGCCACAGTCGATGCGACAGCCGATGCCGCAGCTAAAGTGGAACACGGCACGCAGCAACAACAAGCCATGGCCTTAGCAACATCAGCAAATGTTGCTAGCTTGGTGCGCATGTTGCCAAGCGCACATGAAATATGTTGCTGGGGTGTGCTGCGCTGCCTGCATATGCGTGTGTGTATGAGCGCTGCATATGTGTGTGCAATGAACGCGGCGTCGCTGTATGTGTGTGTGTGTGTGTGTGTGTGCTGTTGCTGCTGCTGCCGCTGCGTAGCCGTTTGGCAACTTCATCGAAACAGATACACTCAGTCTGTTGGTAACTGTTGCATTCAACGCTTCGTTCGCTCTCCAGCCGAATTCCCATTTTAATATTCGACAACGCCATTTCGTTCGTGTGCGCTGTGCGACTCGTGTTCGTGTTTCGTTTCGCACGCTCGTTTATTTTGTTTGGCTTGACTCGGCGGGCAGTCGGTTCGTTCGATTTCGTCGTTTCTCACCCACACACACTCACACACACACATTTATACAGAGAACAGATACGCGCGCATTGATGTGTTAGTGCGTGTGCGTGTATATATGTTTTACCGGTAAAGCCGAATACTTAACGTTCCACGCTCAACGTCATCAAATTCATAACGTCATTTCGTTTTGGTAGCGTGCGCTGTGCGTGTGTATCTGTAGAGGAGCTGTTGCTGTCGCAGTCGCAGTCGCAATCGCAATCGTTGTATCTGTGTCTGTGCCCGTCTCGGCGTCTTGGCCAACTAGTCAGCCGGACTTGCGTTCTGCCGCGTTAGCTGTGCCAATTGGCAGTTGCATACAAAAATCAAATACATACATAAATATATAAATATATAATATACATACATATAAAATATATATTTTTTGTGCCAGAATTTTTAGTTAAAAAAAAGCGAGAAACCCGCAAAAATTTCGTCATCAAATTTTTGAGCTGTCAACAGTGCGCGCTAAAAGTAAACACATATAAAATATACACACATACACATCCATACACACACACACATATATATATATATATACATACAAAGGCTGCAGCGGCCATAAAGTGTTCAGTGCTCTGCTTCAGCTCAGCTAAAGCGACACATTTAATGCTTGAAAAGCTAAAGCACAACAACAACAATAACAACAGTAGCAACGGCAAAAATCACTAAGCTCTTTGCCAAATACGCGAGAGTGAAAAAAAGCAAAAGGCAAAAAACAACAACAACAACAAAAAACCTCAAACATAAAATCATAATAATAATAAAAAAAGAAACGCCTTGCCAGGGCAAAAGTCACATAAAATACTTATAAAAGTGCACACATAAGGATTACAGGAAGAAGAAGAAGCACACGAAGAATCTACAACAACAACAGAATGTCACGGATCGTTTTTGTATTTCTGGCAGCCATCTTAGCAGGTAAGCCAAACTCACAAAAGTTAAGAGCGCGCGCGAAGCTCGAGATGATATCACGAGGCAGTGAGACGTTTATTTATAAGCACTGATTGAAACACACACACACACACACACACACACAACTTTTTCTGTTCAGTATGCATGTGCATGTGTAGGTGTGTGTGTGTGTCACATTTTTTCATAGAAAACCTGCTCGCTAGTAATTTCTATATGAAATATCTAGTTGAAGTGGTTCATTGTAAAAATATTTCAAATATGATTGATTAACATTGTCGTGCTAAAAACTCTTAGAAAAAGCTGACCATATCGTTTAGTGTCCCGTGTCACGCGTGAGTTTGTTTTTTTTTACAATTTGGCGGTTTTTTCCGCCTGCTGAGTGACCCGTTTATACAGATTATTTTGGATACCTTGCCGTACTGCGCATGCTCGTAGGCTCCACAGCCGAAAGACTTCGGCTGAGACCAACGAAGCGTCAGGCGAATGCTCTGTGACCTTTGTGTGGGCAACAGCTTGAGCTTCGTCATCGCATGCTTCGCTTTTAAGCCGGGAAAGGTCAAATGTGCCCAAGTAACTCGGCTTTTAATGAAGCCATTGTGCTGCGAGTTGTCTGCTTGTTTGGCTCTTCGGCAATAATTAATGAAAGCAACATCAGGCTTGGAAGATTCTGAAAAGTTTTCTGATATTGGATTAATTAGTTGGAAATTAAATCTATTAAAGATTTTTGTTAGATTAAAACTTAATTAAAATACATTTTTTAAACAATTTTTATTTTTGGGAATAGTTTATATTATAGAATCACTTTCTAGACATCTTTAAGTGGAGGATAATATATTCCGAATACACCATAAAATTCAAATTCAAATTTTATGCGCTCTTCTTGCCTCTCAGTTTCTTCTAAAGAACAAAACTCTAAAATTATGTCATGGTTATTTAACTCTCTCTTTATAGATCATAAAATTCAAATTCAATTTGAGTTTCTTTTTAAGAAATTTAAATTAATTTGGTTTTTCTTAAATTCTTTTCAAGAAATTCTTGAATTTTTAAATTTTTCTCTTCAAGTGAAATTTTCTTAATTTCTAATTATGCGGGTCTTCAAAAAATATGTTCTGTTCCCACATAAATCACCTAAGCTGCAATTTACTTTTCTGGTTTTTTTCTTCCTCTTCCTCTTCCTCTTCTTCTCTTCTCCTTCCTCTTCTGCTGAGTAGCTTGCATGCTTGGCTCTTAGGCATTCCACAATCTTCAATATTCTGCTCGTAATGAAAGGCTCAAAGAGTTATGTGTACAATAAAGGTGCTCATGATACATCCTAGCATTAAAAAGACGAAAGCTTCCTTCTCTCTCTTGACTCGCAATTCTGTTGTATGTGTGTGTGTGTGGGTGGGTGTGTGTGTATCTGTGGGAGTGTGTGCCTTTAAGGGCTCCATCTACTACTGTTGGCTGGTTTAAATTTACAACTTGCCAGCGCCTAGCAGCCTATTTAATTAAAATCCTTCAATGTTTTTCAGTTTTTTCTTTCATTTTTTTTTCTCGGTTTGCTTCTTATTACGCCACACAAAATTTTGTGAGCCCATGCAGCGAGGGCCGCACATGGCGGCTCCCATTCTCATTAGCTGAAAAGATGCTGCTGCTGCTGCTGCTGTTGATGCTGCTGTTGATGCTATTTATGCTGCTGCTGCTGCTGCTGCCTAACAACATTAACAGAGTCGGGCGGCAGCAGCAGCTGTCTCATTACAGTTAGCCCCCATGCCATTCCATCGCATCCCCCAACCACAGCCCAACTCTGCACTCGCTCAAGGCACAAAACCCCATGAAACACACGAACATGACGTGACTTTAAGACAGACACTTTTTGTTCACGTTGTGCTTAGCCTCTGCCGCAGGCAAAACCTTTCAAATGGCGCCCAGCGTGTGTCGAAAGCTGACAACTCCTGCCGCCTCCAACGCCCAGCCCCCAATCCCTTTAGTCCGTTGCCTTGCAAATTGTATGCAAAGCAACAAAAATCCGCCGTAAAACAAGCCAAAAAATGCAACAGCTAAAGCTTCTGATTCACATTCTGATTCGGTTTCAGTTGCAGCCGCTGCTGTTGCTGCTGCTGCTGTTGCAAGCTGATGCAGCTTAACGCAATGCAGCCGCTGCTCTTTGGCTCTTTCTCTGGCACTTTACACTGAATACTTTAACATTGTTTGGTGTTGCTTTCGCTTCGTTTAGTATTTTTTTTTTATGGCCAAACACACATCAGAGCTGGCATCTTGTAATTATAAATGTTTAATGGGCTGCTGGACGTCGCTCTATAGAGAACGAGAGAGAGAGAGAGAGGGCAGTAGTGAGTCTGAGTGGGAGAGTGTGTGTTCAGACTGTAATTTTTGTAGCCCATCTTTTCTTTAGAAAAACTTGCTGCATACGCGGCGTATTAGTTATGGCACAAAATAACCAAATGTCAAATGCAAAAGACAACTTTGCTTGCAACTTGTGCATTTTAATGGCCGCAAATTGAGCCATGCCCGCTCTCTCTCTCTCTCTGTCTCTCTGTCTCTCTCAGCATGCATAGAAATAAATACTTGATATTTGTTGGTTTGGCAATGCAAAACGGCTGCATTTGTTCAGCTACTCTTTTTTGCGAGACTGCTGCATTACTTGCTAAGTGATATCGCATCCAGTCTGTGCATGTGTGTGTATCGATATCGAAAAGCTGTTATCGATATAATATGCCATGCAAAAACATCAACTTTGTTGAACTTTGCATGTAATTGAAACTGACAGAGGGAAGAAATTCTGAAAAAAATTATAATAAAAACCATATATGTATATATGGATTTTTATAGGAAAAGTTTTTTAAGCTTAAAGAACAGAGGAAACTTAAATTTGCGTTAAGAATAACTTACTGCAGGGTAAATAGAGTAAAAATCTTTCATGATTTTGAGTTAAATCGAACTTTTTTTATTAATATAAAAACATAAATAAAAATTAAAAATAAATAGCAAATATATTTAATTATTTTTTTGTTAAATATTTATATATTTATTTTTATTTTTTTTAATATATAGAAACAAATTAAATTAATCATTAAAAAGTTAGATTTGCTTTTTTTGTAAAAAGAAATTTTGAAAAATAAATAAATAAATAAATTTAAAAATATTAAAATTATTTAATGAATATTATGAAACATCTCTTAATATATGTATCTTTAAAAAAGAAAAAAAAATTTGAAAAAAAAATTGAGTGCTTGTCGTAAGCCCAACAAATTATTAGAAAGTAATATACAAATATAATAATACAAATATTAATAATTTGAGAGTAAAATTTATAACAGTTCTTTTTTTTATTATAAATAATATTATACATATATAAAAAAAAAAAAAAAACAATTCATATTAATATTAATATATATATATTAAATAATTCTGTTTTCAAAATATAACATTTTCATAAATTAATTTAATATTAATACATACATACATATGTATATACATAGTTCCTCTATAAATAGATATATCTTGCGCTCTATATATGATAGCGTATTTATGTAGTCTATGTAGTTTGGAGGGCATATTCTGCTCTTAGCATTTCATCGTATGGTAATTGCACGTACATGCTGCATATAAGAAGCAGCACAGACAGAACTCTCATTCATATTCATAACATCCTCGTTTCGTTCGAGTTTTTGCCTTGCTTTGTGCCCGTGCTTGGACTTGGACTCAACATTCTGTAGTCGTCCACCTTTTTTTGTTGTATATATGTATATATATGTTTTTTATCGAGCTTAGAAAACAAAATTTTTGTAACTGAAACTGAAACTGGGCGAGTTGAGCAAATGCTGTTGGCCCAAAGCAATTCGCAGGTGAATGGGCTTAAGACAAAGGCTTAGGCGCGCCTCCAGCCACGCAGCGAGCAGAGTTTGCCCAGTTACTTGTTCTTAACTTTTTTTTTGTTGTCTTTCCCTTTCTTCTACTGCTGCCGCTGCTGTTGCTTCTACTGCTTTTGCTTTTGCTTTTGCTTTATTCAATTTCCGCTTTTTAATTGCTTGTCGCCCATTTTTTTCTCATTTTTTTTTCACATTTTTTCTTGACGCCTTTAAATTTGCAGCTCATTTGGTCGGTTGCTTTGGTTCTGCTTTGGATGCCTTCGGTCAGATTGGCAGCGCAGCAATAGCTCTGGCTATTGATTTTCTCTTTCGAATTCACTCACACAAATTGCGGATTATGTGGCACAAATTGGTGTCGTTTTTCCTTTTCGGGCATATTCCCCTGCCATTTTGAGCGCATTAGCGGCAAGCGGAGTATTTGCGGCAAATAAAATAAACAAATTCATGACTAATTTGCTGAAAAATGACGGAACAATGTCAGCATCATCAGCATCAGCAGCAGCAACAACAACGACAACAACAAGAACAACAGCAATTCCGAACGACAACTTTTTTAACATGCATAAAATGCAGCTTTGTGTAACGCTTTATATGTCACTGTGTCGATGTGTGTGTGTGTGTGTGTGTGTGGCACAGGAAGTTGGCCATGGTTTGAGCCATGTTGAAATTTTTTGGGCAAAAGGCACATACGGATCGTTGGGTAACGGCTAGAAGCGAGCAAGTGAGAATGTGAGAGAGAGAGACGGAGCGAGAGAGGGAGAGGAAGGGAAAAGGAGAGGTATGTGGTGCGATATTGACAAAGCGTATGCCAGGCAAATTAAATATAATGGCAGACACAAGCTCCCCCCTTACATACATACATAAATACATGTATATATGTAACAAACAATGAAACATTTGCGAGACAATAAAGAAAAGTTGGAAGTTTGTCAAGGGTGTGCGTATGCGTGTGCATGTGTCTCCGTGTGTCTCTGTGTGTGTGTGTGTGTGTTAGCTTGTACTTCCTTAAGTAGAGCACAGTTTACAGTTGACGGCTTACAGTGAGACAAACTTTTGATCGATTTGTACGCATTGTCTATATGAGCACGTACAGGAGCATTTGCACTAAGAGCTGAATAAAAGAGAAAACTTTTCTGT